GCTTGCATTTGGAAAATTTTGCTATGAACAGACAACATGTGGTCAAGCCATCCTTAAGCTGCGAAGGCAGGAAAAACTCATCCGAGAAATTGCTACAATATCAAAATCTACAAAGAAAGAAAGCACTGGTGAACTCGACAACGCAAAAAGAGCTGGTGGTGGGCAGTGGTGGATGATCGCAGAATCGTTTCCATGGTGAAGAGAAACCCCTTCAACAGCCAACCAAGTGAACGACACTCTCTACAGGTGCAAGCCACTCACAACCTCAAGAACAGAAAAGCCAGATTGTACCTTCTACTAGCATACCACATCATCTGCACTGTGAAGGCTCTGACTTGCATGGCTGCCAGTGTCACTGCGACACTGGTGTTCATTGATGATGTGACACAGGACAGAAGAGGCATACTGTCCGCTCACATCCAGGAAACCCAGCATCTGGTGATGTCCATGAGTCCAACACTTCAGGCTGTCGTTACCAGCAAAGGGTTTTCAACCAAGTATTAGAAATGAACATTTTGTTTTCAGTTCTTTAACTTGTCCATTTACTTTTGAGCGCTGAAATGGAACTGCATTATAAATTCTTTAATATATTATAAATAAAATCTTTTTCTTCAACCCGCTGAATTAAAGCTGGAAGTCTGAACTTTAACTGATTCGTTTCATTTAAATTTCATTGTGGGAAAGTACAGAACCAAAGTTAGAAAAAAATCGTCTCTTTACAAATATCTGTGGAAATATCAACGTATCTACCCGACCGAGCTGACATCATCTATTAGCCGATATTTTGGTGTCGACATTTATAATGGCATATAATAAATGAATGACAATTACGGACGTAAAGAAGAGAAACATCCTTCAGCCATCTTATAAGTGTTGTGGTGCACAGTTTGTCCACCAGGGGGCACTCTGCAGCTTCCCTGCCACAAACTACAACCATCTGACCTCCCGGGATCAAACTTGCTCGTTGGCTTGTTAAAGCTGTGAACTATTGTCCGATATATCACTATAGTAAATCTTAAATATCTTATCGGTTCTAAAGTTGCTGTGTTTTATACTTAAGCTGCGTGTGGTAACTGAAAGAAAAGAAGCAGCAGAAACGAGCTTCCTCTGTGGTGTCTGGGTTAAGATTGGCTGAGGAGCTCAGACATCCAGACGGAGGGAGGGAGGAAGGACGTCGCTACTCCTTCATGTCAAAAGGACCCAGCTGAGGTGGTTTGTGCATCTGATAAGGACGCCTTCTGGACGCCTTCCTTTTGAGGTTTTTCAAGCTTGCCTAACTAAAAGGAGGCCCCAAAGCAGACCCAGACATGCCAGAGAGAACAAATCTCTCAGCTGGCTTCGGAAAGCCTCAGTGTCCCTCTGAGAAGAGCTGGGGAAGGAGGCCACGGAGCAGGAGCTTCTCTGCTGTAACTGATGTGGCAGAAAACAGATGGATGGATGTTTACCTC